CAGGGCATTGAGGCAGTTTCGCCACAGAGAACTAGAGTAAACAGTGTATGGCACATGAGATGAGCATAAGCAAAGCAGAGTAACAGAGGTAACATATTGGATAATCTTTAGAAATGGTTGCACATGTGAGTTTGGTAGGTCTCCTGTAGTGCTCCTTGATTCAGACGTGACGTAGGCTGGTATCTTCTAATGGCAGTGTCCAGGTTGGGTAGTAAACGGTTTTCTAAGAGTTTGGAAATACGGTAGAAACTGGATTTTTGTGGGATGGTGTTGGTTACTGTTATCATGGTGGCCTCTAAACACTGTCGATGGTAAAGGTTATTTTCATATATTAGTTTTCCTTCGTCGAATTTCAGGTGGTAGCCCTCTCACAAGGCCACTGACGATATGAATTGTCCCATACTATGCAGAAATTTTCTTGACCTCTTATACTGCCAACATCCCTGCCTCGCTCACCTGGCTGCCTTACATCGATGATATTTTGGTCATCTTGCCTAAGAGGCTCGACGTGTAGAGCATCCTCAACACTATCAACACCTGTCATGGAACCTACCATAACACTGACATTTGAAGAAAGACAACCACGTAACATTATTTGATGTGTTACTCCACACAGCTAAGGATAGATGCTTGTTCGGTGTACAGTGAACCTACTTACAAGATCGACTTGCTTGATATTTACTTCCATCATAATAGGAAAAAAAAAAAAGGATGGGGGAGATTGGGGTCGTGATAAGATTCTCTATCAGGGCACATTGGATATGCAACTCAGTTCCTCGAAGAGGACTGTGAATACATTACACAAGATTTCAAACTGCTGCACTTCCCTCTTCGCTTCATCGCCGACTGCAGGAAAGGTGCAGCACGCATTCTCAACAGAAATAACGTTGACACTGCAGAGGAAACCAGTCTAATATATTGTACTATTTGGTAGCAACGTACCTTCAAACATGTCCCTGACAATGAGAGGTAGTCAGTTTAAAATAACTACTAATTCTTCGACCACTGTCAGAGATTTAGTAAGGAACAGATTGGGAAAACCGTCCAGCATTTGAAAGAATTTTAAACATACCTTGTGGAGGGTGTGATAAGTATTTGGGTGAAAGAGCAAGATCCCAGGAACTATGACTACATGAACATATGCGTGCGTCCGTGACAGGAAACAAAGCTCATCCAGGGAGCAAGCAATTTCACCTTATAAAATAAGAAGCAAAACTAATAATACGTGAAAATGACCTACATCCAGTATTTAATGGTTGAGTGTGCTACTGGGGAAGAGTCCTGGTTATCAAGTTAAAAATTGATTATCTTCTCTCAAATATTTAATTTTACCTTTTGCCAGTTCTACCTCACATTAAACAAACAGACGTCGTCCCTTCCTTGTCTAGTCCATGCTCATCCCTTTCAACCTCTCCTGAGTAATGCTGCGTCTTCTTCATTTAGTTTAATTTGTTTATTATGCACCCCATACCCATCCTGTGGGCGGTAGTCAAAAGATTACAGAGGTACATAATTGGTCCAGGGACTGGACTCCAAAGTTTTGATAGCTGAGCAAGTTACAGAGGTATTGAATTCACAATTACAAAGGAAATGAACTCACAAATTAAAAAGGGTTTAAGGGAACCCCGGGGTAGGCCCTAGTACAATATAGACAAGTTACAAAGGTATTTACAGATTACAGAGGTACGTAATGGATCCAGGGACTGGGCCCCAAAGTTTGGATGGCTGAACTAGGTACAAGGTAATGAACTCACGTCTTCTTCATCGGCACACATCCAACAATCAAAAACATTTCTTGTTTTAGAGTAATTCTTCAAGGTTGAACTTGTGTGGACTTTGCATACCACAGTAGCCCATCGATAATTTACTCCAACTCAAACTGTGAGATCTTCAGACAAGTGTACCGTTTCAGAAATAATAAAAAAAAAAATCGCCTAATGAAACAAAATTATCTCATTATTTTTGTTCTAGCGACATGATTCATGAGTGATTTAATCAGTGCTCTACACAGTTTTTCAAACTATGGTTCTCCTTTCAAACGCGGTGTTCCTTGCCTTGGCGAAGGGCACTTGATCCCGGGAACTGGAACTTCTCTCCCCTTCGGATTTAATCTCCCCCCAACTCTCCCCCCTCCCTCCTTTGGTTTCATTAGTAGAGATGTTTTCCTGTTTGTGAACTCCAAGACAGAAGGAAAACGAATCACCATGAGCCGAGTTTTTATATTAATGCTATACTTAACCGACAGGTAAATAAATCACCTGTGCAACATATGGAAATCTATACTGCTGTAACTTTTCGCCTGCTCAGCAATCTTCAGTCAAATAAAGGTGACATTTAACCTGGGGATAGTAGACTTGGAGAGGTAAGTTTAAGGTATTCACTCCCTCAGCCTTGAAGATTACCGACCTGTCACAATATAATGTACATTATGTCACCACATGTTGTATGTTAGTGTCACCATGCATGGCTTGGTGGTCGCCGGCGCAACTTGAGAGGTTGTGCAGTTCACACTAGTTCTACGTAAGGACAATAACAAATGGTTTCTAAAAACATGAGAAGATACTTTATTTTTGTCTTAGTTAAACATACATTAAATTACCTCTTTGTCAATGACTAAATTCCAACAGTAAGTATAATTCCTGCCTTTCATGTCGCATGGTTTGTTACAAAGGGAATTATAGCACCAGGCCAGGGGACTGGGTACGGTAATAGTGATAGTACCAGGCTGGGGGGGGTAGGAATAGTAGTGGTACCAGGTTGAGGGATAGGAATAGTAGTACTAGGCTGGGAGAGGAATAGTAGTAGTACTAGGCTGGGGGACAGTAATAGTGGTAGTACCAGGCTGGGGACAGTAATAGTGGTAGTACCAGGCTGGGGGGACAGTAATAGTGATAGTACCAGGCTGGGGGACAGTAATAGTGGTAGTACCAGGCTGGACAGTAATAGTGGTGATACCAGGCTGGGGGACAGTAATAGTGGTGGATACCAGGCTGGGGGACAGTAATAGTGGTAGTACCAGGCTGGGGGACACTAATAGTGGTGGTACCAGGTTGGGGGAATGGAATAGTGGTAGTAAAGATTGGCGGACAGGAATAGTGGTAGTGCCAGGCTGGATGACAGGTATAGTGGTAGTGACAGGCTGGATGACAGGAATAGTCGTAATGCCAAGCTGGGGACAGGAGTGGTGAAGTGCTAGGCTCTGGAAGGGGAGTACATAGATAGTGGTGGTGCCACGCTGGGGATGTGATGCAGGAACCAGGGTCAGACCGAGGGCTCACCATTCCTGCTTAGACTGAAAGTAGTGAGGGAGGGGAGTGGCGACATGATTGCTACAGGATAAGAGATTTTTGAAGGGAAGGGAAGGATGAAGGGGGTGCTGTGTGCCACACTACTACATGGCACTAAGGCTTGGTATCTTGTGCATGTGGAGCACTTTCTTAACACTAATGATTTAAAACAGGCCTACGGCTTTCTGTGTTTTTTATTATTTTTTGGGTCACTACGTCAGATCTCTTAGTTAAATAGTATAAAAATACAGTTTGCTTTCGAGATAATTTTATAGAGTAAGCTGACTTTCTTTGAGCTGACGTCACCCCAGCTTCACTCAGCTTGGGGTATTGTTTATCTTTGGTAATTCTAGCTTTCCCAATAGTCATCGTGCAAACTATTTACAGCTGTAGTGAATACTTTGCTTCTCTTGCAGTAAACGTGTTGCTCACCAAGGGAAGTTTAGGGAGTAGGAAAGTGAAGTGGATTATGTTTAGGAAAATTTACATATCAATTCTGCCTTATTTAGACAATCTGTAGACGCCAAGTGTTAAAGTGCAGATTCCTGCCTCAATATCTGAAGTCCTGGAGTGTGAGACAACTTGCATAGAATTATGCGCACAAACACAAGCTGAAAGACCAAGTCGGGTGACTCTTCTCTCATAAATAAATATTTTATTTTCCCAAGTTGAGTGTATTTTTATTTTCAGTGATACTAACTGCTGGTCACAAACACTTCGATAATCAGTAACTCTTTGGCATTGTAAAAATAATATATTTACAAAATATGAGCCAAAAATCAGAAACATTGTTTTATTTTTTTTATATAACCAGCGGTTTTAAGTCTATCTTGTAAAAAGTTGTGAAATGCAATTTGGTTCTGGATAACATATACTATTTGACTAAGACACAATATAGGCAAAAATCGCTGGTGCTATCACAATATTTTGCATCAGTTGGTCCCAAAGGTCGCATGAATAACATTTTTTTTTTTTTAAGGTTTCATTTCCTTATCAATCGGCTGCACACCGACGAATACGGACAGAGGTTTATATTTTTATAGAATTTACAATAGCATCACCTAAACGATAGTTTCATTGGAACAAAGTTGGGGCCAGAAACTGGAGGCAGAGGACGAACCACTAAGAACTAAGCGCTAGTGGTTGGCTATACTGATAGTGGTACACTGCTTGAATAACCTTAAAAGCTGTGACTGGCTCCCAACTCTCACCAAGGAGGGAGGGGGAGGACTTTTATTGATCCAGAACGAACTCTACTAATCTATTTAATAATAACAATAATGGTGAGAGAAGGCGAGGGATCTATGAGGTGATGCTCAAGACAGTTGAAAGCGGAGAGGGAGACCAGTTCTTCACTGCTGTACACGGCTACAGATATAAAGGCACAGTGTGAACGCCCAGCCACATCATATCCGTGCACCACATATGTACAAATATATTTACCACAGAAAACCTCTGCGGTGCCCATATAGACAATAATTGAAACGATGAAATTCTGAGGACATTATATGAAGACACTTTTTTTTCTCTAGTTCACAAAACACATTACATCCTCATTCGTACAATTATTTTTAAATTTATCAGTCACATGTATAGTAAATGTTTACTAAACAAATATTCACACAATATTTCTTGGCATTAAAATCGGCTCTAAATAGGAAGAACATTAAAATAACCTAATCAATATACCTCAGTGTCACTAGTTCACCATGATAAATAGAACTGACTTAAATTTACTTTGGTTCGATGCTAACTGACTAGTCCCTAACTGTGTGACGAGTAACTAAGAAATAGAAATAAGCCACATCACTGGTCGTCTCAAGCCTTGACCGCACGTATTACACTGGAACTCCTGGTCTCATTGGCCATCTGGCCAGGCCACCACCAGCTGTCTGTTCACATTACAGACTTGATTTTCCATCTGGTTCTGCGTCCATAACAAGACTGGTTTAGTTAATGGTCTCTACGTTCACAGAATCAGGCGTTCCACAGAAACTTCTAAACTCTCAGGGTTGGTGTTCTACGTGAATGCCCATTAGAATTGAAGACTGTTCCACAAGGAAGCCTCTAGATTCGTTGTATGGAAGCACTTAGTCTAGACCCCACTCAGTGCTTTTCATGGAATCATAGACCCACAGACTGTTCCATATGGAGGCCTCAACACACGTGTAACACGAAGTGCTCCCGAGTCTAATCTTTGGAACTGCACTAATAGCCAACAGTTTTCCATGGATAACACAAAAACCCAGTGTGAGATTCTCACACTTTAGCTGCTATTCCATGTTAATATTCCACATGGACATGGAGCCACAGAGTCAGAGTTCTACACTGAAACCTTAACAGCTTAAAGCGTGAATTCTTGAACAGAGCCGACTTGGACCCTTAAGTTTCCAGGTTAATACTGAAGAGTTTGTACATGAAGAGTGACTAATGTCATTATTGTGAGACCATCTGTTGACCAATCACGGCTTTACGACTCTGCCTACATAGGACAAAATGTGTGTATCTGAATCATCTCATTAGTTTGTCTTTCAAGCTTATGAAATTACTGTGGCAACATCATACCTGTGGCTATCTGTGCCATAGTTCTTGATATTGCTGCTTTACGTGGTGCATGTATCTGTGCCCTGACTAAATCTTATTGTGCTTGCATTATGACTACTTGTATTTTATAATATGTTTTGGATACACATTTTCTGTCCGTGTAGGACATCTGTGACTTCCAGGACGTGTGTGTCATGCACGTGCCAAGGCTTGCGTCATGGATATACAACCGTAATTACAAGTACTAAGCAACTATCTTTCTACTCTACTATTCTTTTGACTGTTAGGGCCTTTTATCATACTGACGTGACTCCTAAACTTAATGAGACTGACTCAACACGAAATTAAAAAAAAATCAGGCAAGAAACTTCGTCAAGTCTCCAAAGGAGATTTCACAGTTTCAGAAAAAGAAGGCATTTGATATAAGTTCATAAAATAAAATAATGGGAAAATTTCCATTGCAATGCCTTCATAGTTTCCGTGTTTACAATATCATAGGGCCAGTAATCCTTGTGCCGTAACCTCCCGGTGTCTGGCACCTAGATATAAGACCTTAAAATGATCAGGTCACGGGTGAAAGCGAATCAAGCTGACCATGCACTTGAGTGTACATCACATATCTTCATAATGACATTCTTATGTTGGCAGTTGAGCAATGCGCTGTACAGTCTCTCAGGTATTTACATGATCATTGTTGCACTGTATAAGCACATTGATGCAAGTAGCTGTGTAGTACATTTACACGTGGAATTAATACACATTGACTATTTTGGTTCTTGTCTGATTTGTGCACCAAACAAGATAACAATGTATACCAAGAGTGCTGTGTGGTGAGTACAAAGATCGCTACGCACACTGCAGTGGAACCTATAATAGGGAAGGGGCAACCTTTCACCTATAGCAGTGTGTTAATACTTGGAGTAGATTCGCTCGAGACTTCAGAAGGTGTGTTATTGTTGCTCATGCTTTCGTTGTTGTTGTTGTGGTTGTCGTTGTTGTTGTTCTCTGAATCGGTGTGGAGCGGGAATGGCTGCGGTGGTGGAGGAGGAATGTGCTCACAGTTAGGATGGACGGACTCCCGGTGTCGTCGAAGATCCACTTTCCGTTGGAAAGCTTTCTCGCATAAGCCACATGCAAAGGGTTTGTATCCTGTGTGCTTCCGCATGTGAGTGATGAGGTTGGAAGACTGACTGAACGCCTTCCCACACACCACACACTTATGAGGCTTTTCACCTGAAAAGAAAAATAAATAAAAATTACCTAAATGCTTACAAGAAAATCGAATATCATTGCGGCAAATATTGGAGATGTATGGAATAGATCCCAAGTTAAAAGTTGCAGGGATACATAAGGTGAGGCTCTTGGTCTGAAAAATGACAGATGAAGTTCAATGTGGATAAGTGTAAGGTGCTAGTCCTTGGTAATGAAAATAACCCTCGAAGCTATAAGCTAGGTAAAGTAGAGCTTGATCATACAGAATGTGAAAAAGACTTGGGAGTCATGGTAAGCAGAAATCTGAAGCCAAGACAGCAGTGCCTAAGTGTGCGCAACAAGGCTAACAGATTACTTGGATTTATCTCAAGAAGTATAAGTAACAGAGGTCCAAAAGTTATTTTACAGCTCTATACATCATTAGTGAGGCCTCATTTAGATTATGCCGCTCAGTTTTGGTTTCCTTACTACAGGATGGATATAGTGGAAATAAATGGTATAAAATACCGACACAATGGCAATATAAACACAAATGCAGTATAATGTGATCCTTTATTGACTACGTTTCGCCCACACAGTGGGCTTTTTCAAGTCACAAACAGAACTACCTGGGGTGGAAGGAACGCGAGTATTTATAGTCCGGCTGAGGTCAGGTGAAGAATGCTGCATCTGATGATGTACCGAGTTGGGTTGTAGAGTCTAAAAACTTGGGTAGCTTGGAAAGGAGACTGGACAAGTTTGTGAGCAGACCTTCTACAGTGTTCTTATGTGGGATAGCGATGAAGAAGTTTCTTGGCAAGTGGTTCAGCTATGTTATAGAAGCCACTATTCTGGTTGAAGTTGTCGGATATAGAAATAAGTGATGATTCCAGGATTCTTCGGTATTGAGTGTTGTCTTCTGTGGCGATAAGTCTTGAGTTTCTGTAGTTTATCAAGTGGTTGTGTGAATTACGGTGTTGTACGCAGGCATTCCTTGTGTCGTCAGACCTGCTTGCGTATTGGTGTTCTGAAATACGTGTTTGGAGGTCCCTTGATGTTTCGCCCACGTATAACTTGTTGCAGTCATTACAAGGGATTATGTATACCCCTGCAGAGGATGGAGGCTTGTCCTGCCTACTACTGGTGATGTCCTTGATGGTCGTGGTTGTGGAGGTAGATACTTGGAATGATGTTTTGGCAAAGATGTTGGAAACATGTTTGGCAATGGAGTTGGTGGGAAGGACTATGTATCTCTTCTCGGCAGTGTCTTCTCTGGGTGTGTTGAAGATGTTTAGTGCTCGCCGTCTGCATCAACATCAGGAACAAGAAACTTTCCAGCCTTGACGTGACTTCCCTATTCACTAAGTACCTACTAAACAAGCCATCGATCTCTTGCGCAAGAAAATTGACGATTCACTTGATCTTCCCATTCCAGCCAGCGACTTCATCGACCTGGTTGAACTATGTGTTGGCTTTACGTGTTTCTCTTTTGAAAATCACCTCTTTCAGCAGACTTTTGGACTACCCATGGGTTCGCCACTCAGTGCAGTCCTAGCGAACATCTAGAAGCCGAACGTTTCTCCACCATTATTCCTTCGTCTGTCACCTGGCTCCGTTATGTTGACGACATTCTCCTCATAACTCCTAAACGCTTCAACGTTCAAGCTCTCCAAGACAAGCTCAACCAGGTCGAGCCTTCAATCCAGTTCACACTTGAAGAAGAGGTCGACAACACTCTTCCTTTCCTTGATGTTCTACTCTGCAAAGCTGACCACGAACTTCGTTTTAAAGTCTATCGAAAACCCACCAACCAAAACGATCTTCTCCACTTCTACTCTCACCACGACACCAAAACCAAACGTGGTGTAATTATAGGCTTCTTCCTGCGTGCACTCAGAATCTGCAGCAACGAGTTCCTTGAGGAAGAATGCACTATAATTGAACAGGTATTTTCCAAACTCCACTATCCTCGTCCTTCATCAGAGACTGCAGACGGCGAGCACTAAACATCTTCAACACACCCAGAGAAGACACTGCCGAGAAGAGATACATAGTCCTTCCCACCAACTCCATTGCCAAACATGTTTCCAACATCTTTGCCAAAACATCATTCCAAGTATCTACCTCCACAACCACGACCATCAAGGACATCACCAGTAGTAGGCAGGACAAGCCTCCATCCTCTGCAGGGGTATACATAATCCCTTGTAATGACTGCAACAAGTTATACGTGGGCGAAACATCAAGGGACCTCCAAACACGTATTTCAGAACACCAATACGCAAGCAGGTCTGACGACACAAGGAATGCCTGCGTACAACACCGTAATTCACACAACCACTTGATAAACTACAGAAACTCAAGACTTATCGCCACAGAAGACAACACTCAATACCGAAGAATCCTGGAATCATCACTTATTTCTATATCCGACAACTTCAACCAGAATAGTGGCTTCTATAACATAGCTGAACCACTTGCCAAGAAACTTCTTCATCGCTATCCCACATAAGAACACTGCAGAAGGTCTGCTCACAAACTTGTCCAGTCTCCTTTCCAAGCTACCCAAGTTTTTAGACTCTACAACCCAACTCGGTACATCATCAGATGCAGCATTCTTCACCTGACCTCAGCCGGACTATAAATACTCGCGTTCCTTCCACCCCAGGTAGTTCTGTTTGTGACTTGAAAAAGCCCACTGTGTGGGCGAAACGTAGTCAATAAAGGATCACATTATACTGCATTTGTGTTTATATTGCCAGGATGGATATAGACTCATTGGAGAACATACAGAGAAGAATGACTAAAATGATTTACTGTGTAAGGAATCTCTCTACGTCTCTGGAGAGACGTAGAATGAGGGGATATATCATTAAAGTGTATAAGTGGATGACGGGCATAAACAAGGAGATATTAATAAAGTACTGAGGGTGTCGAACCAGGTAAGAACCAGGAATAATGGATTTAAATTGGATAAATTTAGATTTAGAAAGGACATAAGTAAGTACCGGTTTTCTAACAGTTGTGGATGCGTGGAACAATCTTCCCAGTAGGGTGATTGAGGCTATGACTTTGGGCAGCTTTAAAAATAGATTGGATAAATATATGAGTGGGAGGGGCTGGGTTTGATTTGTGTCATTGTGTACGGGAATAAATTCTTGGGTAGCTTTGGGTAGAGGTCATTTTGATAAGGACCTGCCTTGTATGGGCCAGTAGGCCTTCTGCAGTGTTCCTCCATTCTTATATTCTTATGTAATAGGCAGGATCTGGGAGCTGGAGCTCAGCCTCCTCAATAATAAATACTTAGGTACACCTAAATCATTTATAGAACTGATTATTGAAGACTGGACGCTACTGTAACTGTTCTTAGAGTTGCAGTTGTGGAAGTCATTCTCTCTCTCTCTCTCTCTCTCTCTCTCTCTCTCTCTCTCTCTCTCTCTCTCTCTCTCTCTCTCTCTCTCTCTCTTCCCTCGCCACAAAATCAAGTAATTTGGATGACCATATGGTTAAGACTTCCGTTGGCAGTAAAGCATACTTTACCCCTTTAATGATCATGGATGTAACGTAAGGAGATTCAGGCTGGTGTAACACTTAACAGTATATCAGGACCATTAGTGGTACAGGCTGGTGTAACACTGTTAACACTTCAACAGGATCATCAATGGTACAGGCATGTGTAACACTTACGTTGCATTAGTGATGCATTATTGAGTGTCCCCAATGATAATTGTTGGTACAGGAGGCAGGGGGAGGGGGTGAGCGAAGTGGAAGGCAGAAGGCAGGGGAGCTAGGTGAAAGGCAGAGGGGCGGGGTGAAATGCATAAGACGGGAAAGGACTGGGGTGGCGATGTGGAAGGCAGGGGACTGGGGTGACGATGTGGAAGGCAGGATGCGGAAGGAAATAGCATTGTGATGGTTTCAAAGTTGTCACCACTGGCAGGTGCTGAGCCCTCTCACAACCTGTCATCGTTCACCACTGGCAGGTACTGAGCCCACAACTTGTACCCATTATTCACTAGCAGGTGCTTAGCACCTGCTAGTGAATAATGGGTGAACCTTACACCGTGTAGGAACAACTACGAGTGAACCTTACACCGTGCAGGAACAACTACGAGTGAACCTTACACCGTGTAGGAACAACTACGAGTGAACCTTACACCGTGTAGGAACAACTACGAGTGAACCTTACACCGTGTAGGAACAACTACTGATTAACTGAGTGAACTTGGAAAATCTTTCTCAAATATATTTTACCACTCAGTGTACTAATCTCCAAACTTTCAGCAGTATAATTTACCAGTCATTATGCCTTGACCTCTGTAAACATGACTTTTTTTTTGTAGTTGTGAATATATAAATAGCATGGAGAAGCTCCATATCGCTAATGTAATAATGCCAGTGATGTTAACACACCATGAACACCTCCCGAGTCTTTCTTCAACCATTGTATTTGTCATCTTATACACACACGAAATAATTTCCAGCAAGACACAGTACTTTAGGCTGTAAAGGAGTCCCTCAGAGACCTGCCGAGCGTGAAAGTTACTGCCTAGATCTTGTGACGTTGATACATATTGTATTAATATCAGTGATATATGACAGCACAAGGAATGGAGCTAGCAGGCGGGCAGATAGCCACGTCGTGCTTGCGGCTCCAGTAGCAATAAATCCTGTGTGGTTGAGAGGTTCTCGTCCGCACGCCTCCGTCTCTCGTTGTGGATAATAGCCTCAAATTACACAATAAAGCCGTATGAAATATAAATATTCTATATTCAATGAGCAGCTTAACTCTTCATGAACGCGATCAATAAAATCTTGATGGCTGCGCCACAAATCTTGAGAGGGAGCTGCTGTGGCGGCCAGGTGCACAAAGGCGGGCGTCCGGGAAGCCAGGAACGTCTTTCACGCTAAGAAACGTGATAAATGGACCTGGCATTCCGCCCTCAGAGCTCCTCTTGAAAGCGTAATTGTGCGCGATGGGAATATCAATAGTTACGTGGTTGACACAGTGAGGGGCGGGCCCCCTTTCCTTCCCCCAGCGC